AAAACCCCGCCGCTGCGGCCAGGGTTAACTTGACAGAAGAGAATTTGATAGCCATGATCACAGATATGATGGCTGAAGTTAACCTCACTGGTGACTCAGAAGGATGGTGGCTGGATACAGGTGCATCGAAGCATGTATGCAACAATCGTGCTATGTTTAAAACATACACAGAAGCACCTGCTGACAAGAAAGTGTTGTTGGGGACTACTCACACCACTATGGTTGCTGGTTCTGGTGAAGTGGAGCTGAACTTCACCTCTGGGAAGAAGATGGTGATCAAGGATGTGTTGCACACTCCAGAGATAAGGAAGAATCTTGTTTCGGGATATCTTCTTAATAAGGCAGGGTTTAATCAATCTATTGGGGCGGACTTGTATACCCTTACTAAGAATGGGAGTTTTGTGGGAAAGGGATATGCATGTAATGGGATGTTCAAGTTGAATGTCGAAATTAATAAGATGAATTCTTCAGTTTACGTGGTGTGTGATTTGAATGTTTGGCATGCTCGTCTTTGTCACGTGAACACACGAATTGTGAAGAATTTAAGCAAGCTAGGACATATCCCTAAACTCTCAATGAATGAATTTGATAAATGTGATTTCTGTAGCCAAGCTAAAATAACGAAAACGCCCCATAAATCTGTGAGTAGAGAATCAGAACCCTTAGATCTGATTCATTCTGATATTTGTGAACTAGATGGGACGTTAACGAGGTCTGGCAAGAGATACTTTATCACTTTCATAGATGATTGCTCTGATTATTGCTTTGTTTATTTGATGAAAAACAAAAGTGAAGCCCTTGACATGTTCAAGGTATTTGTGGTTGAATTTGAAAATCAGTGCAACCGAAAGATAAAAAGACTTAGGAGCGATAGAGGATCAGAGTATTACTCTAATCCCTTCAAGGAATTCTATAGCTCACATGGTATCATTCATGAAACCACGGCACCATATTCACCAGAAATGAATGGTAAAGCTGAGCAAAAAAATAGGACGTTTACAGAATTAGTTATGGCTATTATGCTCAATTCTGGAGCTGCTTCTTCTTGGTGGGGTGATATTTTGTTGACGGTTTGCTATGTGCTAAATCGTCTTCCAAAAACAAATAGAAAAGAATCACCCTATGAGATCTTGAAGAATAAGCCACCTAATCTGTCCTATTTAAGAACGTGGGGCTGTTTGGCCTACGTAAGAATTCCGGATCCTAAGAGGATTAAGTTGGCTAGTCGAGCATATGAATGTGTCTTCGTTGGCTATGCGGCCAATAGTAAGGCATATAGATTCTATGATTTGAATGCTCGTACTATAATAGAATCCATTGATGCTGATTTCTTTGAGACACAATTTCCATTTAAAACGAGAAATAGTGGGGGTAATGTACTACCAGCTATTAGAGATAACGGAACTAGTGGGGGTGTTGGATCTGAGGATGAACTCAGAAGAAGTAAAAGAGCTAGAATATCTAAAGATTTTGGTGATGATTTTACTATAGTATACACCCTCGAGGATCCAAAAAGTTTGCAGGAAGCATTAACTTCCATAGATGCAGACTTTTGGAATGAGGCCGTTATAGATGAAATGGAATCGTTAGAGGCTAATAAGACTTGGCATCTAACAGACTTACCTCATGGCTGCAAAGTCTTAGGTAATAAATGGGTTCTAAAAACGAAACGGAAACCTGATGGTCCAATCGAAAGGTTCCGAGCTCGCCTAGTAGTCAAGGGCTACAGGCAGAGAGAGAATATAGATTTCTTCGACACCTATTCACTAGTATCTAGAATAACATCCATTCATGTCATGATTGCTCTTGCTGCCTTGAACAATCTCGTGGTACACCAAATGGATGTTAAGACTGCTTTTTTGAACGGTGATCTAGATGAAGAAATCTATATGGAATAACCAGAAGGGTTTGTTATCCCTGAACATGCCTCGAAAGTCTGTAAGTTGGACAAATCATTATATGGTTTGAAACAGGCTCCAAAACAGTGGCATGAGAAGTTTGACACTCTCGTTCTCTCACATGGCTTTAAGGTGAATGAAAGTGACAAGTGTATTTACTGCAAGTCAGAGAATAACACTTGCACTATCATATGTTTGTATGTAGATGACATGTTGATATTTGGTACAAATATTCCCGTGGTCAATGAAGCGAAAGCCATGTTAAAAGAGAGCTTTGAGGTGAAAGATCTGGGAGAAGCAAAGTTTATGCTTGGAATCCAGATAACTAGAACAACAAATGGTTATTCTCTAGATCAATCTAGCTACATAGAGAAGATCTTGTAGAAGTATAACTATTTCGACTGTAAACCTGCGTGTACTCCGTATGATGCTAGTGTAAAGCTATTTAAGAACACTGGAGACAGTGTACGACAATCAGAATATGCTAGCATCATTGGCAGTCTCCGTTATGCTGCGGATTACACTCTACCAGACATTGCATATGTCGTGGGATTGCTTGGCAGGTTTAACAGCTGCCCTAGTAGAGAGCATTGGAATGCTATAGAGAGGGTCATGAGATACCTCAAGAGAACAGCAAACCTTGGTATACACTATCAAAGGTTTCCCGCTGTACTAGAAGGGTATAGTGATGCGGATTGGAATACCCTATCAGATGACTCCAAGGCAACCAGCTGATATGTCTTTAACATCGCTGGTGGAGCTGTGTCTTGGAAGTCAAAGAAACAAACAATCCTAGCTCAATCAACTATGGAATCAGAGATGATAGCACTAGCAACGGCTAGTGAAGAAGAAAGTTGGTTGAGAGGATTGTTGTCAGAGATTCCCCTATGGGAAAGGCCGGTCCCTCCGGTATTGATACATTGTGATAGTACCGCAGCTATCGCTAAAGTTGAGAACCGGTTCTATAACGGAAAGAAACGACAGATTCGTCGTAAGCACAGTACTGTTAGAGAACTCCTAACGATAGGAGCAGTCAGGGTGGATCATAGAAGATCCGAACAGAATCTAGCTGATTCTTTGACGAAAGGATTACCTAGAGAGAAAGTCCAGAATACCGCCAAGGGTATGAGACTTATGCCTACCGAACCACGGACTACAAGTGATGGTAATCCGACCCAATAGACTAGAGATCCCAAGAAATGGGTTCAATGGGTAATAACAAGTCATGAGTAGTATGCGAAAAGTTCATGCATAATGAAGCATGAATCCCAAAGCAATGGAGGTTGAGTTAATAACTCTTAATGAGATCTATACCCTATGTGGGGTGGAGTACTTTACTTTGGGGGTACTCCTGATAGACTCACCTAAGAAGAGAACACAACTCAATGAAAAGATCCGGTGTGCTACACTGTCTGAGATAGGGTTCAAGACTACGAGTCACCCTTATGAAATCGGAAGTGTAACCACTACGCTAAGGTTCAAATCTTCGCGATACCTTAGCTTATGCCCGATCTTATGGAACTGTTGATGCTCAGAGATAGTTTCAAAACTATTCAAGTGGGGGATTGTTGGAAATGTGTATGAATAGCTTTGAAAGCTATAGAGTCTCAAGTGGAAAAACTACCACATTGGTTGTTTTACTTGGTGAAATGTGTATAAAGATAGGAGCCTCTCTCCTAAGGGCATGCCCCTTGGGGTGACCCACTTTTGTGCGAGAGGGAGGACCTAACGGACCACCACACACACGCGCGCGCGCGCCGTCCGTCCTTCCGACCGACCGGTCAGTTGGTTGGTTCACTTGAGACTATATACATATTTTTTTGGAGAAATTCGGAACGAAATTAATTATCTAATAATTAATTATTAATCGGTTATTCTGAGGAATATTCTATGGATAATCGATTGAAAATGAATATTCGAAGGATAATCCCCGCAGGATTTATCCTAACCGACGGTTTTAATTAAGGAAGATATTATCTTCCTTAATTAATCCGACTTATTCCCCAAGCAAGAGGGTATATTCCTAGGGGTTCAGCTCCTATAAATAGCCGCTTCCCAGTCCCTCTAAAAACACCACAACGAGCATAAACACAATAGAGAGAGTGTCAGAGAGCTCCGGTTTTCGCACAAAACCGCGAGTACACAGAGGAGCTGTTTTATCCTGGAAACAACCGGTTGATAGTATGTCGTGCGAATCGAGGGCAGTGCCGCGAACATCTTAAAGAGAGCGACCTAGTCCGCGACTCAGCTCCAAATTCGGTAACCTCGTTCTTGTTGTTGTTCCGTTCCTAACACAATAAACCCACATGAATCCAGATAATTACCAAGGAATTTCATATGTTAATTCTTTCAAGTGGTCCCGAGGCCTTTATCAATTATCATGTGAATTCATTTGGTGTTTCAATTATTTAATCCCGGTTGTGGAAAGTAACTTTCTCACTTTCAGTTGAGGTTCCGAATACGGAAGCTTAGGCCCTGTTTACTTTCATTTCTGTTTCCTGTTTTTGAGAAAACAGATGTTGAAAACAGGTGAAAACGACATTTTTTCGTTTTCGAAAACAGTAGGAAGCTGCCACTTTCTGTTTTCAGAGTTGGAAACGAATAGAAAACAGAATGAAAAGTAAACATGTTTTCTCGTTTCATTTCCCAAATTTGTAACATAAAAACAGAAAACAGGAAACGAAAATGGAAGTGAACAGGGCCTTAGAGTTCCCATTGAAATTAATTATTATCTAGTTTCAATGATTATTAATTTTAGCCGGATTACGGAAAGGGATTCTTACTTGCTTTAATTATCCATCCGATGATAATAATATGAGAGGGTGGGAGAGCGTCACAACCCTTAAGGGGTTGTGAGATTCGCTTTCCAGCTCCCTGTCGTCCATCCCCTTCCTCATCCAACGGCTGTCAATACAAAAAGGGTATTTTGGGAAGCTTTATATAATCTGTAAAAGGAAAATAATTTAATAATAAATATAATTGCACGGGTAACATTTTTGAGCGTGATTGGTGGAAGTGATTCGCATATCTTGCCATTCTTCCCCCTTTTGCTCCTTCTTTCTTAAAAAGAAAACCTCCTCATTTACTTGACTTTAACCCGCAGGAAACCCTCAAACAGAAAAAGGGGCGATCCTTTTTGTAGGGTGGAACAGATGGTGGAGGACAGCGCCGTTGTCAACATGGAGGAGCTGGACAATGACGCCGATCTCGACAACATGGCAAAGACGGACAATGACAACGATGACTTGAACGAGGAGCATATAAAAAAAGATGACGTTTTTGTGCCCGTGAATGATGAGCAACTCAAAGACGACGTCAATGTCCCTAAGAATCTCACCGACGACAACAATCTTGGTAAGGATGCACGATGTTATGACTTACTATTGACTGGTAGTTTTTCTAGTTGTACACGTGATAGTGGTAGTGATAGTACCAGTAGAGGGGTACGTGTACCAGTCGACCGGTAGTCTTACCACTCGACTAGTTCCTGTACCAATGCAATGGTAGTTGTACTACTCGACTAGTTTGGTATCACTGGATTGGTAATATGCTTGTCTTGTGGCCAACGACAACAATCTCGGTAAGTTACTCACGACCTTATGATCGACTTCTGTTGTACTGGTAGCTTTTTGTACCACTAGAGTGGTACTTGTACCACACAACTAGTATTTGGTAGTGGTATCCCAATAGCGTATACTTGGAGCTCAATATGAAATAGTCTAGTCCTAGTGGTATGTCTACCACTAGAGTGGTACATGTAGCAGGGAGTGGTACTTGTACCACTCGACTGGTACATGGGTCACTGCACTGATTGCAATCTAACACCTCTTTGGCAGTGGTAGTCCAGTTCAATGGTAGTGATATGTGCGTAATGTGTTTGTTGAGTGGTACCCGTAATGCTATAACTCAGAGGTTGCGTTGTATTGGTACCGATAGTTCATTTTTAGTGGTAGTAATTAAGTGGTACAAGTGCCCTAGTGGTAGTATTATGTCACTCAATTGGTACACATAATGTTATCACTACGGTGGTAGCGTTGTTGTATGGGTAGTAATAGTCCATTCTTAGTGGAAGTAATATGCCTGTCTTGCGGTAGTATTATACCATTGTGATTTTTGACGCGTCTTCTTGTTAAATACAGGTGTGGTAACTATAGTCCCAACTTATAGTTTAACATGGAAGCACTTGTGGTTCCATAATCAAGATGATGAACCAGCTTCTAGAGGGAAGAAATTAAAGCAGAGGAAGGACGCAACTAGAATTAAGAAAAGATTGAAGTCTACAGGGGAACACGCTAGCGAGTAGGCAGTCAAATAATTTAATAATGAGCTCAAGAGGAAGATAGCAAAACATAAAATTTCTTGCTCGTTTGTTTCATCAATAGTTCTTATGAATGTTAATCGTATGTGACAAACTATATCAAAACATAGTTAATTTGGTTTTTTTTTTAATAGAATTTGGTTGTGTTTGATGGATGTTACTTCTACTACTGAACTGGTATGAGTATGCATATGTATTAGTTTTTAGTTTGATTGGATTTTTTCGTTATTTTTATTGCCTAAGTTCATATAAGTTATTAGATTGGAGTACAAACTTCGTGATACCTGTACCACCACGAACATAAAAGTAAAGAACTAATGCCATTGTTGTAAAGTAGATGACATTGGATTCGTACTTGTACCATTGGAGTGTTATGTCTATCATTGAAGTGGTACATGTATCATGTAGTGGTACTTGTACCACTTGATTGGTACGTGTACCACTTGACTGATATTTGGTAGTGGTACTCCAGTCGGATTGGTACGTGGCCCATTGGAGTGGTACGTCTACTACTGGAGTGTACATGTACCACTCGACTGGTACGTGTATAATTTATGTACTGATAGAAGCTACCAATGCAAACTATTACCACTATCAGTGTCAATCTGTCTGATAGAAGCTAATTGGTAAAGAATGACACTGATATACAAAATGCTACAACTTTATGTTTCTTCTTCTTACTCTTCTTCTCGCATGGACTCTTCGTTCCCCCATCTCGTTTCCATTTATTACTAGTGCCCGAATCAGAATCGGATGATTCCCCTTCACGGATGACAACCTCCAGAAATTGATAGTTAGCAGGCTGTTTTCCTCTAGTTCTCCTGCCGGTAGTTCCTCTGCCGTCGCCACGTAGGTTGGAATCTTTGTTCTCGCCATTCCTGGTACCAAAAATAAACAAAATACCTGTGTTAGACATATTCATTTAAATCTACAATACCAATTCTATGAATTAATCAAAATAGCTAGAATCATTAGTGGTACTTGTACATGTACAACAAGTGGTACTGGTACCCAAATCACTAGTTCTCTGGTACATGTACCACTAGTGTAATTGGTACCACTATCACAACGATACCAATTGAAAGTACGACTACATCATACAAACAAAAAAGCTACACAAGACAGACAGGGCGGCATGCTTCGAATCCAACGTGGCAATCGGAAATAAAAAAAACTTCTAGGATACAGAAACCTCACCTGTTCTGTTTTCAACCGTCATAGCAAGGGTCGACGGCGGCAATCGGTTCGGCGATGCACTGAAAAATCAAGTAAATCAAAATGTTGGTTAAACAACGCGAAGGTCGGTGGGTGAGTACCAGTTGAACCAAGTAAATGGAATTTCAACCGAGCAAAATTCCAAACCACCAGAATCAGAAAGAAAGGAGTGGAGGAAAAAGAGCCAGCCGACTTACCTCCACTCTCAACGCTGCAAGGGTTTATTTTTTTTGGGGGGGGGGGGGTTTTGAGAACAGACGGAAGGAAGAGGGATGATGACCAGCCGAACGTTTTTTTTTTTTTTTTTGCGGGGAAGGTTGCCAATTACGCTCCAAAAATCTTTCCCCTTTCAAACCCGAAGATGTCGTGTCCACCATGGAGGGTGGAGTGAGCGGATCCAGTGGGGCGCCTCTCCTTTTTGCCCCTGATGCATATCGGCCGCCAGATCAAGAGAAAGGGGGATCTAGGGCTGGGAAGGGGGAAGTGAAAATTACAACCCCTCCAGGGGTTGTGACGCTATCTAATATGATTGTATAATGAATAGGAGATGAGATACCGCCATAATCCCCTCAACGGATTGTGAGATTTACAACCCACTTTGTAACGAATTGGATACATTCTCTCTCCTGTTTCTTTATTCTTTATACGAAGGGTATTTTTGGAATGAAAAAAACTAACCACATAGGATTACTACCACTATTAATTTCCATATTATTTCCCTTTCTATAAAAACGCTAATCATATCCTGCCTCTCTCTGCAAACTGCAGGTGCAGAATTACTATTTCGGCTTACCCCCCAAATTGGGGTGCCAGGGAAGGAAGGAAGAGAGGGGGGAGTGGGGAAATTATGAATCTTTATTTTGTAATAATTATTTTATAATTATATAATAATTAATATTACCAATTTGTGGAAATTATAATAATTATAGTTATCATTAATATAGACATTGTTTGGAGTTGATCGTTTGACTCCGAGAGCAAGTTTATCAATGTTAGTCTAGTCAAATAGAGATCTCTTGGTTGACTCGAATTTACATTGAAAATTAGAGATAATAAGTGTTTGTGGAACGTGTTTGACTAAGTTTGACCATATTCAATTTAAAGATAGATTAGACACGAGAACTTTGTAGCATGACTAATTACGAGTTGGGCTTTGAGTTCGCTCGACCAATAATTATTACATTTGTTATAATTAATTATTATTTAAGCACTATTATATAATAATGATTTTTATTAAAGTATATTAATTATTATATAATTATTTCCTTTTATTATTTTGGGTTAATATTTTATAAATTTGATAAATATATTTTATAATAATATAATATTTACTTTTAACTCTATTTGCACCCCCTTACTTTTTCTTCCAAACAACAATTTACCCCTCCACTTACACCCCCACCAATTTGCACCCTCCTGCAATTTGACCCTCAACTTGCACCCCCCTCGGATTTGCACCCACTTGTTTCCAAACATAGTATAAGAGTTTTTGGGGAATCTATGTTACAACTACTTCTATGGAGATTCCTGTGGAGAGCTCCGCGACTACGACTACTGCTACGATTATGGAGATCCTTCTTGGAAGGACAGCTCCACAAGGGAGTTACAGAGAAAAGATAAATTTGGAAACAGAGATGTTTCTGTGTTGATTTGGTTCCTCTGTCTCAATCCCTGCTCCGGTGATTTTATCTAAAATCACTTCGTAGTTTTCACTCTCCATGGAACTGCCTCCTCAAATGCTCCATCGTGAAATCCCACGTGCTTCTTGTAGTCTTCAACTGTGCTCATTGAGAGAGTTTTGAGAATAAAAGAAGCAGGAGTTGGAGGAGCGGTCATCGAGATTGCCCGCCCAATCAGAATCAACAAAGGCGGGTAAAGAGAACGGAGTACTACAATGACAAATGGAGAGACCATAAGTGAGAGTACTAGAGACATAGCGGAGCATACGCTTGACACATTGCCAGTGGGAGGTCATGGGAGCATGCATATATTGAGAGAACTTGTTCACGGAGAAGACAATGTCAGGACATATGTAGACCAGATACTGGAGAGCACCAATAGCCCGACGAAACTGAGTTGCATGAGTCGGTGGGGTGCCATCGTCGAGAGTGAGGTGAGTAGAGGCGGGCATAGGAGTGTCAACAGCGTTGGCATCAGTCATCATAAAGCGATTGAGAAGAAAAGTAAGCTATTGTAAGCTTCAGATCATTCACAAAAGTAAGAACATCACTATTGCCCTTAACAATGCGATTTATCTTGCCTTTGAGATTGATTATTCTAGACTGAGATCGACCCGCATACAATTTTTCTGGAATTAACCAAGCTTCACGTGATGTATTGGCAGCAGAGAGAAAGGAGTATAGAGATTCTGAAATAGAGCAACGAAGGGCATGAAGGATCAGCTTAACTTGGCGAAACCAACGATGATGCACTGGATTCGGACGGCTTTTATTGTTCCCAGTGATTGTGGATGCTAGAGCGACGCTTATACCATCGATATAGCCAATCAAATCCAATCCCATGATCAAGGTTTCGAGCTGTGATCACCAGGAGTTAAAGTTTGTTGACATGAGTTTCAACGGAAGCTGGGCAGCCGGATTAAAGGTTATGATTGTGTCTTCTATAGATGCAGAGAGAGCGCCATTGGAGACAGAGGAGCCTGACATGATTACTGAGATCACACGAACAGAGAGAAAGAAAATTGGATCGTGTCTAGCTGAGCTTTGCCAGCTCTGATACCATGAAAGAGTTTTGAGAAGAAAAGAAGCCATTGGGGGAAAATCTATTGATCATTAATTCTATTGATTTGTACAGCTAACTAATAAACATGGGTGTACAACAGAAGAGATACCCACGCTCCTAAAAGAGATGAACTGAAAGGAAGTGAGAAAGGTACAGGGAATAAAAAGAATAAAAGAGAAAAAAACAAAACAAATACATTTTATTTTACTTATTATCTTTAATACTGGTAACCTCCAACTTGGCGCATAATTCCCATGAGTGTTAAACTTCTCTATAGAGACTTAGCCAAAACGATGTGCAGCCAACCTTGTAGCTATTCACCACGGTTCGAGACTCCACCCTTGCTCCTAAAGCCACACAACCGGCACCATTGTTCATAAACAACAGCGTAGCAAAACCACACCGCAGCGTTGAGCTTCCAGCCTTGCGACGCCACTAAACTCACAATATCAACGCCGCTTTCTACTCCCAACGGTAGCTCACAACTTACAACACTATTCTTTACTAAACAACTTCATTCTACGGTCTTGCCCAATTCAAAACTATGCAACCAATCATCAATTTCACCAAACTCGCGATGTTGTTTTCGACAAAACGACATCGCTTTCCTACTCCACGACATTGTTTTTACTCTTGCGACATTGTTTTTAACTCGCGAAGCTGTTAAACTTGCTGTTTTTAGCTAAAAACAATGTTGTTTTGTGATATTGCGCCAACGACTGTTCAACTCGCAACACCGTTGTGCTTCACGGCGTCGTTGAGCTCTCAGTCCCGCTCCGTTGTTTTCTATGAACCAACGTCATTTCAAGTATTTCGTAGGATCTCAACTTTTTCGTTGTTTTTTTATTGAACAATGTCGCCTCTTACTATTGAGGCGCTGTTGATTTCATGAGCTTCGAAGAGTTGTCGGGTTTTTGCGATACCGACCTTGGGCTTGTCTCACAATATTGTTCTCCAAGAAACAACGTGGTTTTCTACTATGTTGTTTTCCCAAAACACTGTCGTTTCTTGTTTTTTATCTCTTGGCACTATTTTAACTAAAATATGCGGCCTCTTGGTATCATGGCCGACTTCGAATTCGTAATGTTGTTTTAAACACGCCGCGGTATTGGTAACGAATACCGTTTAGTTAAAAACAATATCGCGATGAAGAACCCGTCAGCGATGAAGCTCGACGAAGGAGCATAGGGGAGAGCA